TAATCATTTTGCGATCAAGTTAGGGTTAACCTCATTTAATAATAATAACTTCTCTGGTGAAAAACGTATGATGAAACTTTCCGGGATGTCTGATTTTTTTTAAACGACCTCGACCTCGAAACTGAGGTCACCGTCTCTATAGTTTTGCTAACCACTGGCAACACGTTAGCCTTGTCATCAAGTAGTTGCAAACTGAGGATTGGCAGCAACTTACAGCTTTCTTGCACTTGGCATTCAGGACCAGAAATTCGTAATTACAGCATACGTCTTTTTCATCGCCCATATACTGAAACTTTTTCCCCTCCACCAATATACTGTTTCCTTGGTTGCCGCTCTGTATTTTATGAAGATCCGATTCAATGTCTTTCAAGGTTACTTTTACGTCCCTTAAGTGTTTAGAAGCCACCTGAAAATAACAATTTTAACAGAGTTATGTTAGCCTCTATTATACAACAGATCTTTATGAAAAATGAAAAGGTATTATTTAAGTCACATGCGCGCCTTTGTAAACCTCAACAGAAGCGTAACGCCCATCTAAGTACACACACCCGTGCGTAAAGCTGTAATCTGGAAAAAAAGATGTATTTTTAATTTTTTTCCTGAAAACATTTTTATCATTACAATGGGGAGACTGTTTAATTTTTCGCATTATATTGAGTCTTTCTGTTAGTATATCCTTTATCATTTTCAGTATTATTCCATAATGCTAGAGATAGGTAAAATAAACAACTAACTGTTTCATTTTCCTTTGTATTTATTTACTGAAAATGTCCTGCGGAAAACGCAGGAAACGACATTTCCGGAACCCTAAATTCAAAATCTCAAGCTACGCCTCAGCTCAACACGTGACAAGACAACAGGGTTGACGAATTATTTAACCGTAGATTTAACTTTTGATACAGTTATTCCCCCGTGCAGACTAATTAACAATTATTGGACCAGGTTGAGCAAAATATTGTGATTTATCAGGGCTAGCAGATCAATTACTTGCCTTCGCCTTTGGCAAATAATTGATCTGGATTACAGTGCGCATGAGCAGACCATTATTTGTACAACGAATGATAATAAGTATTATTCATTAAAAATTTGATTCAACTATCTGCTGATTGTTTCATTTCACAATTACGATAAGATATTGGCGCCTACAGATCTCCAGTCAATACTTCTTTGGTTCATTTAGTACCTGAAAAAGACGTTGAGGAACGAGGAAATCTCCAACTCACGTCAAAAAAGTAGGATAACCTATCAAACTTATGTTAGACTCTATAATACAACGGACCGCTAGACATCTATGCAGCTTCGCACTAGGGACTTTAAGATCCAACGACGCGGACGGCGATGAGACCGTCAAGAAAACAATAGGTTTAATAAGCAAAACAACAACTTTGCACGTGCATCACACTTTTTTCTACATTTCTTTCCCGTTTTTGCACGATTACGACGTGAAAATGCCTAAATTCACGTTTTATGGAGGACGTAAACAAGCAACGATTAAATTTTATTTCTCTTTCTGAGCTTGAATATGGTCATTTGAAATTCACCTCCAGGAGGGTTCGCCTACATTTGACAAAGTAAGTGGGTAGGAATAATCGCTATAAAGACTGTAAGAACTCAAATTCACTTTTTAAGCGACGTTCTCGTTGCTGTCGCGTCGTTGGATCTAAAAGTCCCTACTGTTACAGAAATCGCGCCGAAATCACTGTTCGTAAGCGGGAACAGAAGCCATATCCGGTATGGTTTTCGTGTTGGCGCAAAAGCTGTCCGGTAGGGTGTGAACACAGCTAAAAAATAAAATATAGAGAGCTTTTAATAGATTCCAAGACAAGTACGACAACGAGTACGAGATTTCCTCAATACTTAGTAGTGCACGCGCGTGAACCAGCCTCATTTTGGCGGGAAAACGTGGTAACCGTCTTCACTCTACCACGAGTTTTAGCGAGAATGTCGAAGTGGCGGAAACAAGATATCAAATGTTAGAAGTTTTATCACTTTGCGATCGGGAAAGCGCGTAACCTCCTCCACTAAAGGTAACAATGCTAACTTTTCTAGTGAAAAATGGTAAAATGAAGCTTTCCGGGGAGTCTATATTTTGAGAATGTGCGAAAAACTTTAAGCCAAATCTCGTACTCCTAGTCGTCATCATCCTTGAATCTAAGGCGCTCTATTAAAGAACGCGGGAACCTCCAACTCACGTCAAAAAGTGCGTTCTTTTTGTCAGGATCAACGTTAGGACGGAAGTCAGCGTAGAAGCCAATGTTGGGAACCCCTTTAATGCTCAAATTGGATAAGTTCAGTATGCGTGGAGGTTCATTCTGCATTCGTTCCTGAAGAGTCTTTATAAGCAGTAATGCCAAGCAAACCATCAACAGAGGTAGTATCAGCTGGGTTAAAACCAGTTTCTTCTCTCGCCTAGCATTCAGAAAACGTTTTAACAGCATTGCCTTGTATTGCTGCCATTTCAGGCTTAATCCTGTGTTAAATTCTGTCAAGAAAATTACACATATCAAGTTCAATGCTCGATTGAAAAGTGTCCCTTAGTCTTCGTTTCCTGATTAATTAACAATAGGCCCTTTCAGTGCAGCTAGTTATTCACGTGGTACAAAACCGCAGGACCCACTGGGACAGAAAACTCAAAGACCCCACATCATTAACAGTAAGAAGCCCAAAAGTGTAACCGCTTTTGATTTACTCACATTCTTTCGTACAAATTTAATCCAATCAGAAGCCAGCTGGAAACTGTCCTCGACTTCTGATTGGTTAATGTCTGCATGAAAGAATGTGAGTGAATTAAAGGAGGTCACACTTTTGGGCTCCTTGCTGTAAAACGGTTTCCTTCTTTTTTTTAGTTTGTTTTCTCCCAGTGCGTGTCTTGCTCTCCGGCATGGCGGGTTTTGTGGCACATGAATGACTAGCCGCAAGGACCTACGCGTTCGAATTTCTATGACTTAATAGTCAGCGAGGCGCGTAGCGCTGAGTTGCGCCCTTTGACACGAGGAGTATTCTAACTGATTCAGTTTAGTATATACCAAGGTTTGATGAAAATACATGAAAACAAGCCTTTGAACTGCATTCCCGAAAGGGTCGTTTGTTTGTATGCATAGGCAAAGGTCAACGCAATCGTCTCGAAGATGGCAACTGTTCTATTTTGAGAACATTAATCGGACCAAGAAGTCAATTTCATATGAAGCGCCGCTCACCACGGCTAGCATCAAATCCTTATATTGTAGGCGCTTACATCAGGCGTTAATACTTTTTTTCAAATGCTTAAGTGGTACGGGACCTACTTATATTAGAAACCTTTTTAAATAATGGCATGCACCGTATGGGCTATGAGGCGAGGGCTCGAATTTGGAATTACCTAATTTTAATCCAGCTAAATTTAAAAGAAAAGCTTTGACTAATTTATCAACTAAGTTATGGAACAGTTCACCCTCTCAAGTATGCAAATGACTTCAAAAGTAAATTGCAAGATTGTGTCTTGTAGTTCTCCTTTCACGTTTTTGTATATAGTTTTTAGTAGGTTTTAGCTTTTTATATTTTATGTCTTTATTGCTAAGTTTTTATATATTTATTGAGTTGTTTTTAAAATAGAATAATAGTATTTTATAGCTGTAATTATTATAGATTCATTTATACACGTTCGTATTTTGAACGAGTTTTTTAGCTCCTCGATGTAACGTGTTAAAATAAATCACTGACTGATTGATTGATTGATTGTCATAAATAAACAACTAAATTTGTATTTCTTTCCATTTAAAATGTTAATTCCGTCTTTTATGGAGGTGCATCATTTTTAAGTTTAACTACTTTTTCGTCATAAAATTCTAAAAACAATTTGCCAAAGAAGTTGCCATTGTCTTATTTTTGTTCAAAGCGTCGGCTCCCTTCTCACTTTCTTTCACGAAATGGGCCATTTGCACGATGACATCATTTACTAGTACGACCAGAATCCATCAGGGTTTTCCTTTCTTGTGCAAATTACGGCTTTTGCCATTTAAATCTCGCTGCGATTACCAAATTCAAACATGTATAGAAAAGCGAAAAGGATTCTGGTCGTAGTAGTAAAATGATGCCATCATGCAAATGGCCTGTAGATAGAACTGGATGGAGAGTACGTTGGCCAATCAGAGTGCAGAATTCATGATAGTATGCTAGTTGGTTTCTACTGATTCGAGTTATCAACAAACAGCAAGAACCTTGCAAGAGTACGACAATTTCAGAACGCAAAAATGAAATTCGAAGAATCAACGTCAGCCATAGTCATGCGTTTCGACTGAAATCTTGCAAAAAGACTTCAAGTGAGTTGGAAAACTTGTCCAGTGCAAGTGTAGCTTCAACTTCCGATTACTACAGACGGAAATTATACAAACTTACCTCCGACTGAGCTTGCGTCAGCCTCAGGTATAGGAATTTGGCTTGCTCCACCAGATACTTGTTCACCACGATGTTTTTGATCGACAACTCTAAAAAAGGAGACAGAGAATACTATAAGGTGTCTTTGTGCGAACTCGTATTTTGGGTGATCAGAGCAAAGCTACAGAGTGGTTTTGTATAAATTGGTTATATCACTGTGAAGAACTACCACGAAAATGTTGACAAGGGCTTCAAGGGTAACTTACGTTTTACTGTTGTGCGAAAACAACACGTATAGAGCATTTTCACTCATGTGAACAGCAGCTGTTTTAGTTTATTTTTGTTTTTATCCAAGATATGGAGTGGAACTCCTACAGGATAACACAAATACCGCCGCCATTGCTTTGCCATCGATACAGCAATACAACAGACATGAGAAAACGATTTACGATTTTTTACAAATTCTAAGCTTTTCTAAGATATAGAATACTTACTGGTCATGTAGTGTTTTCTCAGCACCTTCCCCGACTTTCATGAACACTTCCTCTAATGTTGTCACCGAGACGCCGAAACTTGTTACTCCATATTGTTCTAGATTGTCTGGAGACAAAGTATGGGTATTAGTTGATGCGAATACATCACTGGGCGTCATACCGACCGATTATAAGTCGTACATATACCCGAATACTGATCCGAAGCTTTAGAATAACATATGATTGAACCATCCACAGTCTGAGAAAACAGCCGGCATATGGCGACACTACCACTGGTTTCCCCGAGAAATGACGTCTGACAAACGAGCGTATTAATTCCATAGTGACGATGCGTCACTACCTAGATCTGGGTAGTGCTTCTGATTGGTTGAAGCAAATTTCCCACGCGGCACGACCAATCAAAAGCACTACCCAGAGTGACGCGTCATCATTATGGAATTTCTGCCCGCTTTTCTTGGTCGTCATGTCGCGTAGAAACCAGTGAAGGCGTTGCAAAATGTCGGCTGTTTTCTAAGGCTTGACCATTGAGAAATTGAAAAACCTTACGAGAACGTAGCCATTGAGGAAGCAGGGAAGTATTTCAAACATACAGACAGCTAAAAGAGCGCGTTTTAAATTTTGAAATGGAAAATATAACATCTCTGACTAGGTGAAAAATTACTCACTTTCTAACTCCGAGAAAAGCGCCTCAAAATTCTGTGAGCTTTCACTAGTCAGAACAAACTGGATTTCTGTACCGACCGCACTGATAATTTCTGCTTTTGGCACGTGGCTTTTCACCAGGTTTGAGATGGCATCTTCATCGCAGCTTTCTCTTTTGACCAAAGTTAAGTGATACCCCACGCCATATCTAGAAACAGCAACCAAAAAAACACCAGTAAAAGCTACTTATGGCATAAATGCAGTCAATAAAATAAACATACAACACTGATGGTAATTGTTGGCTTCACACTAGAGCTTTAAGTATAAGGTAAGTGAACTTGGAGCCTTCTTTGAGTGCGAAGGGGTAAAATGTAGCTACTTCAACTTTACTTGCAGGGTGACCATGGAAATGTTCGTAGTTCAAAGAAGCCGAACTATGGTCTGCACCACACTTGAGAACACACTTGACCAATAAAGGTGATGTTATATGAGACAATTCGCAACGACGATTTTTAACGCAACACAGCGTTGCAATGTTGGAACAATGTTGGAACTATTCGAAACAATGTCGCAACAATGTTGCAAAGCTTTGTTGCGCTAAAAATCTACGTTGCGAATCGTTCCATGTAACATCATCTTAAGATATGGAAGCCATGTGCACGATGTGCACGTGCGGCGGTTCCAACATTCTCATGATCGGAGAGATTGACAGCTTTAACTTCAAGTGATAGACTTCGTCAACAAGTGTGAAGCCATGTTTTCTACAGAGCGACTTAAGATTTCCAAGTATACTTGAATCAAGTGCTTACTTGCAACTAACTTCGTTTCTAGTGTGATCCTAAGAAATATTTTGCTGTTACATAACAAGTAATTAAAAGCGATGCAGCTAACCGGCTTTTGAGAAACAAAGAACTTCCACAACAACGTAACTGCCCATCAGCCATAATAGCGATTCGATCTCCAAGCAAGTCTGCTTCATCCCTGAAAAAAGAAAACAAAAATCGGTATATCGCCATTGATCTTTTGGCCCTTCTGCATTGTTAAGAAAACATACTTAAGTTCACAAAAAAAAGACCGTCGGGTGGTTTATTCACGTCCTATTTTTTTGTTTGAATTCAAAAACTGTTTCGCTTCCAGCTTCAAAAACTCATTAATAATTCATAAAGAAAAAACAAAACACAAAAGAAATTCCTGTTTAATAAGTGTACCTAATAAAGACACGCCTAAACGTTACGTCCAATTTTTTTGGAGGAAAATAACTCCAAATCTAAATATAAGTGCAAGAATTAGTTAATCTATATCAGAGCTTTTGAAGCCGTTCAAAAAAAATCGGAATCGTGTTTTATCAATAGGAGACGAAGCCTCGAATTTTTAAACCGGATAATAAACTCCTGCTCGTTTTATAAATTACAGCCAAAATCACTCACAGCGGGGGAATTTTCTTCTTTTTTTATGATATTAGCAATAAGCACCTTAAGACCGGAATTTCAAGATCTGAACTAAATAATTTTCTTAAGATTTTTTTTTAATCTTGTATCGATGACTGTGCTTTTTGACAACGCATCTTACATCCACCGATGTATATCAAGCCCCTGGGCAACACTTACATAAAGTGAGTGGTCAAAATGATGGTTCGTCCTGCTTTGTGTTTCAGTAGCAAATCCCAGGTGCCTCGTCTGGCGTAGGGGTCCATTCCCGAGGTGGGCTCATCCAAGAAAACAATTTCAGATCCTCCAATAAGGGCAATAGCGCAACTGTGAATATAAACATCGGATCAATGTAGGTTTCTGGGAACCCACCTACCCCTCCATAAGCTAACATTAATACTTACTTCTCACTTAGAGCAAAATGGTCGCTTATGGGAGGGGTAGATGGGCAGTTCCCAAAAATCTTAAGTGCAATCTATGGGGGAACTCGCGGATACATTGCTAAGAAAATAAGGAAATCATGACGGATGTAAGAAAAGAATACGAAAATATTTAGTTTTCATATGAGGCAGTGGCAAGGTTTT